TTTTGTAGTAATTTATGAGTAAGTGGAAATCATTCCGGGAGTTTTTTTACGGCACTCACGCTAGAGAACCGTACTTCGTTGTTTCAGAAAAGCAAAATTTGCAAAGAGACCGCCGTTGCAACAGTTTTGAGGTTCCGTTTGTTTTAAAAAAGGGAAAGTTGAAATTTCACGTTGCCATAGAAGCGACCAATTTGAAAATGAATTTGAAAAGTTAAAATGCTTTAGCCGAAAATTGGAATTTAGGTTAGTTACGGGAGCAAGTGCGCCAAATATAATCATTTCCGTGATTGTGTCAAAATATTGTCTGTGTCTTAAGGGTGTGTAAGTGTCTAGTAAACATAAAAGCCGCATCGCGTTTTCGTTAAACCAAACACATAGTATTTTAAATCCGAATTTCTGGAAGGGCGAACGAAATAAGGAACTTAATCGTGTAACGAGAGCATTTATTTGAGTTTTTTTCGTCGAATTACGCAGAAGTCTAAGTTATAAAAGAGTCAAGGTTTTGAAAACATTTCTCCAAACAAACAGTACCTACTCATTCGTCGATTGAAATAATTATTCTAAATCGTGTTTGTCGCCTCGTTGTCTGGCTATATGGTTTGGAATTACATGCTGGAAATTATTCGCATTCTGTTACTTCTGCAACTCATTAAATTTAATAAAGCTCGATAAAAATAAGCTGAACCAATGAAAATTAGTAAAATACCGCTGCCATAACTATTCCACCACTTGAGTAGGTATTAAAAAATTACTGAGTATTTACAGAGGGGATTATTTTGCAGAAAATTTATTAATTCGCGTTTTGGCAATCGAACTAAAAAGAGGTTAAGGCATTAGACGAGTAGCAGCTGGTACAGAATGCGGTCCATATATTAATTAGAGTTTTGTTAGTAGATCTTGTCAAAAGACCATTCATAGCGGCCAAGTGGTAAAGTTAAAAAATTGTGAAAAATTCGCGTTTGTCATTCAAGTTGTAAAAATAACGGTGCATATAAGTCCTTGGAAAATCAAAATCAAAAAGGTGTCACCATCGACTTGGTTTAAAAAAGCGTTCCGTTCATTATTAAGTTGGATCGGGAGTATAAGCTTCGGAATCGCAAGTTAGTTAATGAGTGCCAGTTCACCAAAATTGAGTTTGTTGTGTACTTAACTGTATGTGAGTGCGAAAAACTGGCACCCGTGCAGCATGCATTCAATAAAAAGGCATCGTTCGCAATTATAAACAAGCGTTTTGACAAGCAAACTATGCAGCTTAATAAAGTAAACAAAGCTGAAATTAACTCATTTGTCGCATGGAATTACAACAAAGAAAACTGTCGGTAAAATAAAGTAAAATCAAATTTATAGTTACTGCAGCTAATACCTAAAAAATGTGTAGAATTTAAATTGTTTTTAGTTGGATTCGTTTAATATTGCCAATTACAAGAAAAAGGATTTTCATTGATGCAATTTAGAAATTGCAAAATTTGACATATTATTAAACGACGGCAATTTGTGTAGTTTTTTTCTAAGCAATTTTTATGGAAAATTCCAGTTTCCAGTAAAGTTGTTAGTATGAATGGGTCAGTAGTTCCTAATTTGAAATAGACGTTTCTAATAGTGAAATTTAAGGTTAGTTTTAATATTTTTCCAGTATTATAAAAAATCTAACGGTAAATAGGAGAGGGTCGTCAAGTTAAACCAAATTGATAAGAAATTAGGGTTAAAGAAAATTAATCGCGATAATATAAAAAAAAATGGGAGTAAATCCAGGGATCACAAAACCATGGACGCCAAATTACCTAATAAAAAAAATGGATTGTGGATTGAGGTTTGTTTTATTTTATACTTACCTGAAACCGCCAAGAAAATCTAAATTTCAGGGCTATTTTGACATTAGAAGGTTGATCTTTATCTGATTAGTACTGTAATATTTTTGCCTGACTCCCATTACAGCCCTAGTACATGCAAAATAACAATTAGATCGTTCATTGAATAAGTTATTCAATCAACGATTGGATAATTGTAATGCAGACTATGTGGATATTTTTAAATATTAATATACCTACGCAAAGGATAATGGTTTTTTAATTACTAACAATTAATGGAATATGTGTGGAAGTAATTATTCCTTTAGTTTTGCGCCAGTCATTAAAAGGTTTGTACGCCTTTTCGTACCTCTTTCTTGACTTTGTGGGGAGCGAATATTGCACTACGGCGGCGCAGCTTCGGCTACATTATAACAACGTCTCGCGTAGGTACTCTTCTTCACTGATACCTGCTTTTTTACCTACTTATAAAGACTGTATAGTTGAAAAGTACAAAGCATAAACTACAAACTGCATTAAAAATGACACTGATTGTTTGAATTATTTTGAAATCTCTATGGAAACAATTAAATAAAGTGATTTTAGCATGCGTGATTAGGTATCAAAGTTTTACACATATGAATAATTTAATTTGGAAAAGTTATCTACATGTTGCGGTTTCAGGTAAAATTTTATACATAATATGTCATGAAAGTGAGTCCACCTGACTTGGAGGCATTAAAGAGATATTCGAACGCGCGTACTTTTCAATAAGCCTCCGCGTCATGTAAACAATCACTTTCATGACTTATTATGTAAATAACTATTATGCGTTAAGATTAGACCTGGGTAACGTGTACTTCCTGACGGTAAATACTCCTTGTATTATTACTTATATTTATCAATTTATTTGTGTCAATATCACATTGGAATCGTTGTTATCTATAACCAGGAAAGCAATAAGCAAATTTAGAAAAATATGTTTCCACTGAAAAGGGGTAGGTTTTTGCACTAAGAGTAAACACGTTACATAAAATCATTTCATCTAATGCTAGCCGGAAATTAATTAATCATTTTCAATTAGAAATAAATTCAGGTCGTAAGTAGGAAGTCTAGATGGAAAAAACCTTCAGCCCCTTTTAATATGTAAAGTCTATTAGAATGTAATACGGTTGTGCGGTTTTTTACCTCGATCGTTTAAATTTTTCTACGTTTGAGATGCTTTGTTTTCCGAATACGAAATTATATATTCAATAAGCAATATTTTAGAAACAAAAATTGTAGAGCTTGCGCCCCTCGTGGTAAGGAATCAAAAATTATAGCGTAGACAATATCGTAAAAGATGTACCTCTTCAACATTGGGGTTATTAACTATACTTATGCGCAGTATTTCATTTTATTTCCTGTTCCCTGTGTGTAATATAGTAAATTCAATTTGCCATTATTCTTGAAATATAAGATCACAGAATAAACTTTCTTCATCTATGAAAAGTCTAAATTGGTGCATAAGTAACCGCATGTTGAAATTTATTAGTCAATCTCATTTCGTTCATCGACGTTAGGTATATTCAAAACACACGCCAAGTAAATGCAACAAACACTACTTTCTTTTAAAATTGTTAAGCCTTATTAGGCACATTAGGTAGCCCAAATTTAATTTTTGGCCAATTCTGTTCAGAAAACATTAATTCCTAAAACGATTCGTAGGTATGTTTAATGACCAGTTTCGAACATTTCAAACTTCGACTGATATGCAAAATTTGGCAACTCGAAAACGTCGAGAGGTGATAATCTGTTAGAAATTGTGGTGCTGCATCAAATTTTACTGTTTGTGTTATTGATTAAAACTAAAGTATACGTTCCGCTTTAAACAAGCATCCCTTATTACCTAAAGTACTTCAAATGCTTTAACTATCTCATCATCAACGCCTTTATCCTACTACAACACTTTCAACGACGCTACTATCACGTTTGTGAAGCTCTTAATCGTTAGTATCTCAATTTCTAATTAATAATTGAGTGTTTTTAATGGCCGAGATTTACTAACCAAGACCTCACAGCCAACTTCATCTCAATTTAATTAATCGGCATTAAATTGATGGGGATTAAAAATTTTAATTGGAGATTATTTAATTGAGGCCGATTCCACGTCGCATTGGAAACTAATTAATTTGTATTACACCGCGCACTTTCCTCACACAAATCATGAATGCTAGTAAATAAAGTGGCTAGTTAGTAATAAAACATCCCGTAAACATCTTTTTATACAAAACACGCGTTGTACCGCTAATTAAAACAAAAAATTCGGCGAGTTGTGTATAAAAAACAGGAAAAAAAAACGTGGAACGCTCCCGCTAGTATACTACAAATTTATGCAAATTTATAAGCTTATGTAATAATTTGATTAAACGACACAAAAAATGTATCGCTTAAATTGTTTTTCTGTCGCGCGAAACTCAGAAAATAACGTTCTATTGACCTCAACTTCTGTTTACATCTGTCAGGAAAATTAATGAACACCCTACCGAAACTTTCTCAAATTGATAAAATTACTTTTCCCGTCCGTTTCATGCCTGCATTGTAAAACTAACACTTTTTTGTATCCGGCTTTCTGTTTTAATTAAATTGTCGATTCCCAAAACTTCCTGCCGATTGCGATTAATTACGCGATGTGATCCTTTTTAAAGTCTCACCGCTATAAGCGATTCAGTTTGAAATGAAATTGGGATAATTCGTACCTAATGCGCGCATCGGATTTAAATTCCAGAAAGCTAATTAAAATGACGCTTTTCACCTTAAGAAGAATCCGTAATGTTGTCTAAGAGAAACGTATGTGTAGGTAGATATAACCCACCAATTTGAATACCCACACATCCAGCTTGCTGAATAAAGTCGGGGTGCAATCGCGGTTACGATCAAGGAAAAGGATTAATTATAATTAAAGTTCATTAAATTCTCCGCGAGGATTCTTATCTTCTCAACTTCTCTTTACCGCGATATTAAGTTTTAACTTCTAAAGTAAATTCAAGGAGACATTTTTGATTAAAGTGTAGTTAATGTAATTGCATCTATTGGTTAAAAAACAAAGCAACGCTTCTATTTTCGTCTTAAAAGCGCCCTGTGGGAAATCTGGAAATAAGTTGATTACCACTACAAGAAACTAAATTTATCTTTCATCTTACTCTTTCTAACCGACAGAAACGTTTTACTCACCTTTTACAATGAGTAGAGTTAAGTGAAATAGGAGACAATTAAGGCTGCAATTGCTGACAAACATCATTTAACTTTGAAATAATTAGATTTTCAGATCAAAATTTCGAGCGTATTTAAACAGCAAGAAACATCTTCGAATTCAGTTATGGTCTGTTTTCGCGCTCACATGCCGAAGTTTTATTTCAAAAAAGGCCCATGGAGGAAGTTCAGAGAGGAAACGGAATGAATATCGCTCTTACATATCAAGATAACAAACGTCAACCTCGCCAACGCAAGAGGTACGCGGAACTAAAGTAGAAGTTCGCAGCGGAATCACGGTATCCCATCAGGACCACTTCCCGCATGCTCTCTCAATTTTTCGCCTCTTTCAGAGTCATCTTACATTTTCATCCTCTTTTGTTGAAAATTTCGAGTAACTGAATTGATATGCAAATGCGCGTTTAGATAATCGATTGGAATACTTGCATTGTGCGCCCTTAAAAATTGCCGAAGCTGATGGCCTCTAATTTTGCATGGAGATATTTCTCAATTAGAGCTCTAAGTGTTAACTCTAAAAATCCATCAATCACTACAAGTAGCGGCAGAACGAAACAAAAGCTGCCGTTTCTAGGTGAATACTTTCGTTTTACACAATGTAATTACCACCATTGCGCTGAAATCGCCTTCTTCTACTATTATCTGAGTGACAGAATACTGGACCATTATAATAAGTGAACTAACATTTTGTTTAGAAATCTAACGAAACAGTGTGACCCGCAGGCGACACGCAATATTTTATTCGTTCACCCTCTTCCCAGTGGGTCCCTTTGGGTTGACGTAGACAACCAATAAACGCACGATATTTATGATAAATACTCATCATACAAGTATAAACCAATCGCCAAACTGATAAATTGCCTGTCTCCTGCATCGCTCCTCTATTTATACTCGGATGAGATTAAAAGCTGACTTTTATACCCGAGACTATTAATAGCAAGGACGATTCATACCCAGGACTCTTGATGTTCAAGACTCTTCATACCTAGGACGACTCATACTGGGCCATCCATAATCGGATCAACCACGTTTGTTAGAGTGATAGTTAGTGAGGTCAGAAATCTTGCATCAGGAGAATATAACGTGCGAGGAAATTGAAGGGTAGGATAAAATATTTAGTTGGTTTTAGTTAGGTTAGACCAAATTAGTTTGTAAAAATTTTAAATCCCTAAACTAATTAGACTATCACTCTAACCTAACCTCACTGATATTTTATCCTAACCTTCAATCTCCTCGCACATTATATTCTCCTGATACAAGATTTCTCACCTAACCTAACTAGTATACTCTAACCTAACCCCACTAAAACCAAACCCTGAATCACCTTGTGCGAGAACAACCAATCCCTTTAGTGGTTGAAGGGGGTGGTTGGCAACCCCCCACAATTGTGGGAGGCTACACACCTAAAGGTAGTGCAGGAAAACACTGCTTTCCTGGGCTCCTCAAAGCTGCCATGTGGGTGAGAACCTGACGACCTGGTACGGTTAAACGACGCTTGCAGGTGCAGAATTCCTGGGCAAAAGAAGGCTGCAGGAAGAATGGGGTCGTAGGAAGTCCTGGATAGATTCACGACGTCCAGAAATGACACCAGAGAATGTACGGAGAGGTACATTACCATCTAACACAATTCTTAACAGGAAACAGGGAGAACGCAAAGTACCTACCTAACAACTAACCACAATTTAAACTGACCAAAATTTAAACAGTTAGTCCCTTAACCATTGTCTACCTATTACTGAAAACAGAATTGGAAAATTCGAAACCGTTCGCGAGTATCGTATACGCAGACGGACGGACAGAAAGTTCAAAAGCATAATCGAGCTGGGTCGCCCGTTAGGTAATAAGTTGACAGAGTTTAATTCTACGTTTGGGCGGCACTTATTCCGTTTTTTGAAACAATAAGAAGACGAAGGCCGATGTAAATTTCTAGTACGCATCCGTCGGAAAGCTGCCAAGTGTATTTTTGGAGAAACTGCGCAACAAGCCGTAGAGATCAGCCCGAAAGATAATAAACTGTTCGACAGCTGAGCATCAACTGGCTTGAAAAAGCGGTTGCTGGACGAAGTGACAGAAAAAACATTGTCACTAATACGGTTTCTCTCATTTTACGATGCGTCACGTACTAGACTCGCGAAACTTCCGTACTGATAACTTGCGTGTTTTTTTAAATTTTATGATTTACAAAACTTCGATTTTGGACCGACAGACGGACGGACCAGGTCTGCCCACCAATTGCCCTCTTGTTTGCTAGCAATTAGCTCTTCTCCCACTACCTACTTAAACAAATCTACGAATGGGATTTCCTAACCCACCAATTATTACTTATTATTACCTAACCTGAGCTACCACCCAAATAAAATTTGCTGTAGCCCTCGACTTACATAATAAAGAGCGCCTAATACGTTTAAGACATTTAAAAATAATAAAATTTAAAAATAAATAAATAAAAACAATATCTAACTTCTAATGGAACCACCCTCCCTAACACTAAGCTACTCTAACGAAATTCACCCCTTAATACGAAAAAAAAAACTAAAAAAAAATCGGTCCAACTACTAAAATCTTAGAAAAACGGGTGCACTTTCATGATAAAAGAAAAAATTAAGAAATAATCGAATTAAATAAAAATCTAGAGAGCTCCCGTTACAAGGTTTAAACCCTGGAGATGTTTTTTCTCCTGGTATGAACAACGAATCTGATTTTATTTGTTCAGATACGTAGGTATTGTTTCTGAAAGAACGGCGAGTGGTCTTTCTGCGTTTAGTAATGTTGCTAGTGATCTTTAGCGCTATTTTTGACCTCAGAAATTCTATAAGTGTACAAATCATCTTAAGGCAATCATTTTTGGGTCATGTCAGTTTAATGGTACCAAATCTACCATTTCCTTGCACATACCACTGTAAAGAGGCAACCAATTATTTTGGGAATGGAGAGTTCAGGTATAGAAATTACCAGGGACCAGAGCTGGGCAGCATTCGATTTTGTAAATACTTTTTTGTAGTCAAATACTTTAAAGTATTCAAATACATTGTAATTAAATACTTTTATGAAAGCAGTATTTGTATTTGTAACTCAAATACTTTCGCAAACATTTAGTATTCGAATACTTAGAACTATTTACAAATGTTTAGGAGAAGTTTCCATTATCACAAACTCAAATATAAAAATCCGATACAACTCAATACCGAACGATCCTGGAGTGAAACTTTTTGACCCGAGAGTCTACGTAACTTAAAAACAATTAGGGGCCTTTCTTATATCCTTAAGACCATGTGTACCAATTTTCAAAGCGATCGCACGTTTCTAAAGAAGTTATCGTGCACACGGACAAACGGACGGACTGAAAAGGATCTATTTCAAAATCGCTAGGATTAATTTCAGAAAGGTGTACACGTTTTCTTAAGGATATAACTGATATAAGAAACGTCTGGAGGGCCTGGTACCTGCTATATCTTGTACTTTTTTTTTGAATTTTTAAAGTATTTGAGTGTCAAGTACTCGAATACTTTTTATAGTATTCGAATACCTTTGATAGTATTAGAATACTTTTATTCACAATCATATATGTAATATGTCAATTGCCAACTATTTTGAAGTTTGAAAGTGAGCAATTGTTTGACATCTTTTGCGAACCCCTTTTGAGGTCGGCAAAGTACTTCCCAACCTGCACGCCAATGCCGACTTGATTTCAGTATTAAGCTCACGCTGGTGTTTTGTGATTGCGATTGATTTTCAAGTAGATTGCTCTTGAGGTAGTCTCCATTCGTACTTCTGCGTTTATTTGGATGACAATTTAAATAAAACGACAACAAACTACTTTTTATTTTGATAATAACTATACACATTTTACTGAACCGCATAAATTCAAGTTTAGCAACTAATTCGCTCAATGTTTTTCATTGTCGTTGGTGGAATTAGAGTAATGAAAATGAAAATTAAATGTTGCCTGATCATCATAGCCTCTAATATTTAAGGACAAACCTTGCTGCAATTTCTGATTAGAAAATTGAAATTCTTGATTTGAAGCGTAAGACACAGTTTTCTTAGGACTTTTAGTGTTTGTTAACATTGTAACTGGATTTGTAGCATTTACAGTTAAAACGTTTTCTTCTGTGTTTTCTGATGCAGTTGATGGATCAATATGGGAGTATGAAGTGCTGTTGCAAGGAATTGGAATCGAATTGTTGGTGGACAACATATCAGCGATTTTCACTTGACCATCTAAAGAGCTGTCAACATAACCTTCAGCCACAGTACTTGATTTCCATCCGCCCAATCTCTTTAGTTGCAGAACATCTCCTCCAGAATTAGCCAACAAGGTTGCGGCTGTTCTGCGAAAACAGTGTCCAGTGAAACCCTTTGGATCTTCCAATTGCAAATAGGTAGCAATTAATTGGGGAAATTTGGCTATTGAGTTATGGCCATAGGGTTGATTGACTACTTTCCCAAGCCGTACTTGAAAGAAAAACCTTTCACTATTCACGTGTTTCCTTAAATTTATATATTGTTTAACAATGTCGATCCAACTAGCATTCATGATTACAAATGCTCGAGATTTGTATGTTTTAGTATCAGGTATGGCAACAACGATCTTATCAGAAATGCTAATATCGGATATTTTCAGCTTAAACAATTCATCGCTTCTACAGGCACCAGAAACGCCAATGATTAATGCAACCTAAAATATTATACGCATAGAAGTAAAAATGCAAGATATTAACCGTCAGTTATGCTTACCTTCTGGGCCAGGAACTCATTTGCAGCATTTTTTAAAAAGTCATCGATATTTTGTTTTGTAAAAACACATGACTTTTTTGGGACATAGCCAACATTTTTCCTTTTCAAGTATGCTATCAATTTAGCGAACTTCGAGATGTCAACTTGATGTTTAATGTTAAGAGTACTTTTCAACATGGAATATGTTGACCATAATGTACTAGGTTTTTTACTTTCCCCAACTTCACTAAAGTAAGCCAATACCACGTTTTCGGAATAAAAATTCTTTGCTCCTTTTTGAGCGCACCAATTCTTGTAACTGACATATGTTTTTTCATATCTGGACTTACTCTTTATCGGCAACAAATTACTTGACAATTTTGCGGCAGCCGCTCTAAGTTCAGGTGGGGTGCTTTCCAAAACACTACAATCACTATCTGATGACATTTTTATTTAAAATAATGCACCGCCTGCACAAAAGGGAACTGAAAATGTCAACAGTTTTTCAATTTTTTATA